TCGCCATGAAACAGGAAGTTGTAGTAACTTGGCTGTAAATGCCCAGATCTGCACGAAATTTAACACATTTGACAAGAGTCCCGCCCTGAACAAATCTACATGCCGACATTCACCCACAGTCATAGCGCCACCTGCTGGCAACAGGAAGTGACCTTTAATGAAGCGTAGCAAATTCACAGCCGCACCGGCTGAGCTCCAGAATTTGCAATGCGGCCGCCTCACACCCCGACGCGCTACAGGTGCGAGGGCCCGCCCATCGCTGCTTGCAGCTTTAATTTTTATATATTTTTTTATTCAAATTCCAATTTTTCTTTCAGTTCAACCTATAATGGTCTAATTAGTTTGTCATAAAGTTATATTATCTAAAGGTCAGATTTTTAGAGTCAGAAACATGATGAAAATACAGTTTATTATGTTTTCTATTAAAAACCCATCACAAAAGCTTGGTAGATTCGTTGGGATCCCTGGCAGTAGCATGCAAAGATTGCAGTACATTCAGAATTGCGCTGCCAGGGTCCTGATGAGGGTGCGCAAATTCGAGCACATCACACCTATCCTCCAAAAACTCCACTGGCTCCCTGTTAGATTTAGGATTGATTATAAGATCTGTCTCCTGACCTATCAGTGTGTCTACGGTAGCGCACCAGAGTTCCTCAAAGAACTCATTAATATTCATAATCCTTCCCGACATATCCGCTTTTCTGACACTCACAAACTCCAGGTTCCTAAGTCCAAACTCCGCACTATGGGAGACAGGGCCTTCCAGGTAGCTGCACCTCGAATTTGGAACGCTCTACCTAATCACCTGAGAGCGCCACAGTCTATAGAGGTTTTTAAAAATAAACTAAAGACCCACCTATTTTTAACTGCATTTTCTTAAAATATATTTTGCTTTTGTTGTTAACTGATTGTTCTTAAGTTTGTTGTCTTAATTCTGTCATTGAATGTTTTTTTTTTTATCTATTTTTATTGCTTTTACCTGTTCACTTGTTGCACTTTGAGATATGTTCGTCATGTGTAAAGTGCATTACAAATAAAATTCATTATTATTATTATTATCATTAGATTCATATTTTCAATATCACACAATCAAAGTCTTGAGTTTTCACTGGTTTCGAACAGTATAAATGTTAGGATGCCTGAAAGGGGAAGTAAGAGTTAGTCATAATATTAGACCCAAACGGGAAGTCAGGTAAGAGTTGGTTCTAAGGTTACATTGTCTAAGGTCAGATTTTTAGCGTCTGAAACATGATCACAGTTCACAGTTCATGAGACAGTTCACTATCTTATTAAAAATTCATCCCAATCAGTCAATATCACTGCTCTCCATAATTAATGTAGCCTATGGTGGTATTATCAGCACATCGGTAGCAGTTTAAAATAATATAACGTAATTTACATCTCTTCGATGATTGGTTGATACGTGCTGATGAGGTATGAAGTCTGCATTAACAGGCTGTGCAGTTAGGTCTGCAAACACACGTTGGCTGGCTGGGAACTAGCTGAGCATACAAACCTTCTACTTTCGGATTAGAAACTGGATGCTATGTGTACTGTGAGTTTGTAATCTCCACAAATTCAGATCTACTAGGGTCAATAGTTTTCAGGAACAGAAATTGAAAAAAGCATTAAAGGGGGGGTTGACTGCTTTTTTTCTTTGCATGATTGTATTAATGGGGAGCAATATAACATGTATTTGTGGTTTTTCTTTTTTTTTAAAGTCTTATTTTTCATAAACTTCACGTTTATTGTCAGCCGCGCTCTCCTCTGTCCTCGAACGAGCGGTTGACTTCCTGATTCTATGAAACCACTCCCTCAGAAACAAGCAGTGGGCTCAGATTGGTTAGTTTGGGTCGGTGTGTTATGATTGGCTAAACTGTCGCTCACGTTGTCCGGAAGGTTACCTTTACGGGCGAAACGTGCATGTAATGAGCTCCGGTCCAGATGTAAATATGCGTTGAACTGCAGTATTAGTTTGATGCAGAATCAGACCGAGAAAGCGGCGATGAAGAGAGTCAAGCAGAAACTCACCACACACGGCTCTTAATAAACGTTTCTGAATGATAATTTGCTACATTTTTTAACTTTATTCACGTTTGTTTTACACAATAGCATCTGACTGGCAACAATAGCAACTGACTGGCTACTAATGCTATACTCAAACAGCGTCGGCATGTTTACGTTCTTGATCAAATCGAAAATAACGTCATAAAGCATATATACATGAAAAATACGATTAAAACATTAGTACTTATACAAAATCCAGATCCATAATGTTTGTACGCTTTTGTCGTGGACACAAAATAGCATAGGCTAACTAGTAGTGGCTATAAGCTAGCGCTGGCATTTGATCAAACTAAAACACAAGGCTACGTCTGGAATTATACATGCAAATACATTTAAAATGATGAAGTCTTAGCCTACTTACAGGTTGTGGCCCAACAACTGCTGCCTCTTGTTTTAAAGTTGGATCTGCTTCATGTTTTAGTAACAGTTTCTTGTTGAATCCGGTGTTGAACTCGCGGAGATTCTGGAAGCTGTCTTCCGTAAATGCACAGCACAGAGAGATAGATTACGATCGTCATTTTCAGGAACATATCAAACATAAATTGTATCCATTGTTGATGAAGTACAGCATCCGTGGGAAGCTCGAAACACAGAAGACCTGACAGCTGGTGAACAACACACTCAACGAGTCAACGTGCCACAGAAATATGTGCATGCTCTTTTCTGCATATTCCGGAGGGAGGGTTGATGCAAATGTGTGGGTTAGTGACGTATCATAACCCAGCTGTAGTCCCAATCGAGTCGTTTTTGTAGGCAATTATACTTCGTGATTTTTAAAAGTCGATATCTCTGCTTACATTGAACTTTCAGCGCTGCAACTTTGCAGATACTGTTCATGCACCAACAGCAACATTACACACTATTTAAAATGAAAAAAGTGAAATCGCAATCAACCCCCCCCTTTAAAATGTAAAATAATATTGATAAGTTCATTTTTATTCAAACCTCCGTCCTTGCAAGACACTGCATAACACTGCTAAGCCTGATGATACAGCTGCTTTGTAGCTCTAATATACTTCCCTAGCTTCCCAAACTTCAGTGGGGTAAGGCCCCCATAGCAAAAGCTCCACGAACCCCCTTTGTTGAAAAAATATATAGATTAATAGTATATATTAAATAAACCTGATTGTCTCTTTGATCAAAATGTATCAACATTTATTAACCAGTTTGAATTTCATATGAACTTCATGTGAAACTAAAAACATCTACATTCAAACTGAGGAACGATGTAAACTTTGTAAGTTTTAGTAAAAAACAGTCCCACAGTCTGACCAGCAGTCTTCAAAACAGTACCTAATGACATGGATGGGTGTTGCTTTTCAGCTGTTATGATTTTATGTCTGGCTGAATCAACGTCAATTTAAGACAGAGATCAGATTCCACACTCAACGTGCTACCTATACTTTGTCTTTAAGGCCGCAAGCACCGAAAATCCCACTTCACACATATAGTCTATATGTGTGAAGTGGCAAACGGCATCAAAAACATAATTGCCTTGTTGGCGAGTCCAGGGTATTTGTTTGACAACCTGAGTCAAAAAAAATCTGAAAAAATCAGTTTCAAGTAGCTGTCACAGGATAGATTGGCTAAGCTGTCCTGTTCCTTGCAGGCAAGTCCCGCAATTACATCCTGAGTTACCCCTTTTCCACCGAAAAAAGAACTGGTTCGGAACTGGTGCTGATTCAAAGTTGGTTCGGAGTTGGTTCAACTTGCGAACCCGCTCAGAACCTGTTTGTTTTTCCACTGACTAGAGAGCCCAGGGAACGACGTCGTTACGTCACTGTGCACGTCGCTAGAAGCGCTTGCAAGTACATTGCTTTGGGATTATCTCTAACTCGTGTACCAAGAAAACTTTAAAAACAATTGAAATATGCAAGTCTTTTAATCTTTTCGTTTGATATGTAATCTTTTCTGATAAGTTATGTACCCCTGTCTTGTGTATTTTTTCTATCCATTTATTTGTTCTATATCGTGACAGTTTTCTTCTTTGCTTATGTTTCAAATAAAAAGGAAATAAGTAAAAATGCTTGCGTGTTTCTGCAGTTTCTCCTGGCTTTGCGATGGTCAGAAAAGATGTTTAGAACGCATCTAAACCCGCCCCAGTCCCCGACGTAAGCATGACGTCCTAAAAGAACGGTTCTAGTCCCGCAAAGAGTTGGTGCCGCTTTGGAACCAGTTTTCCTGGCCGTGAACCGGTTCTTTGGCTGTCGAAACACAAAGAACTGGTTCGCGCGCAGGCACCGGCTCCGACCCGGCTCTCAAAATGCTTTGGTGGAAAAGGGGCTAGTGTGGTTGGCAAAGGGATACTGTATCCAGCTCTGCTGTTTGCTGATGTCAGGGAAGTAGTTGTGCATCTGAAACTTTAAAGCCCGAAGGTGCTCTGTCATAGTGACGGGAAGTGGCCTGTCCTTCCTCGATAAAAACTTTAGCAGCTGGTGAAAGCATGTAACAGTGCTTTTAGCCCTTTGTTCCATCTTTGGATCTTCTTTTATTCTTCCCTGATTATACTCTTCATCTCTCATTATCTCATTATCACTCCATCAATCTCATGTTCCTCTTGGTTCCACTAAATTATATAGAGTTTGATGCAGAACCCTGAGATTCTGACACATTGAGAAAAACACAAGGTCCAGCACTGGATAAATACACACTTTTCTCGATCTTCTTCAACATCTGGTTTCATCTGTGTGTGAAAGAATCCAGGAGTATCAACTACAGACGATCTCCTTATTCTGTTTTCACATAACTTCTCAATCTTGCTTCTAGTTCTCATTCTTCTCTGATTTCCTCTTCGGTCTCTCCGTCAGTCTTTCCAGTGACAATATCGATGGCCTCTCAAACACTGCTGAGACTCTTCCGTCTCTCTCAATCTCACCTTGTTTTTGTTTTTCCTCGTGATGTTTCCGACTCATTGGTTTAAGTGCGTCTCATCATCATCTTGGTGGACATTTAAAGTCTGCTCTGACGTTCTCCTCCATTTCCTTTATAACTCTATCAATCTCCTCTTGTAGTTCTCTCCGCATTCTCATACATATCATTTCCATATGTCTCATTCCCATCTCTCTCATTTCCATCGTTCTCATTTCCATCTCTCTCATTTCCATTTCTCTCATTTCCATCGTTCTCATTTTCATCTCACTCATTTCCATCTCTCTCATTTCCATCTTTCTGATTTCCATCTCTCTCATTTCCATTTCTCTCATTTCCATCGTTCTCATTTTCATCTCACTCATTTCCGTCTCTCTCATTTCCATCTTTCTGATTTCCATCTCTCTCATTTCCATCTCTCTCATTTCCATCTCTCTCATTTCCATTAACCATTCATACATGCCAATATCTCTCATTGATGAATATCTCTCAAGCCTCTCCTGTTGTTTCTCCTGTCGTTCCAGATGTTTTTGTATCCTGTCTTCCATGCTCAGTCTTAATGTTGTAAGTCTTTCTTGTAGAAATCTTGGTGGACCTTCAAACTCTGCTCTGATCTTCTCCTCTGTCTCCTTTCTCACTCTCTCAATCTCCTCTTGTTTTTGTTTCTCCTCTCGTTGTGTTTTCTCCTCTTCCTCGCTTAGTGTCATTGATATAAATCTTTCTAGTAAAAATATTGGTGGACCTTCAAACTCTGCTCTGACTCTCTCCTCGGTCTCCTTTCTCACTCTCTCAATCTCCTCTCGGTGTGTTTTCTCCGCTTCCTCTCTCAGTCTCATTAATTTAAATCTTTCTAGTAAAAATCTTGGTGGACCTTCAAACTCTTCTCTGATTCTCCTCTCTGTCTCCATTATCACTCTCTCAATCTCCTCTTGTTTTTTTTTCTCCACTCGTTTTCTTACATTTTTCTTTTCACTGGAATCAAACCACAGAGATGTTGTGGTCTGTCTCCTTTCTCTCTCAATCACCTCCCATTTTTCCTCTTGTCGTTTCCTGTCTTCCTCATTCAGTCTTATTATTTTAAGTCTTTCTCGTAGAAATCTTGGTGTACCTTCAAACTCTGCTCTGATTCTATCTTCTGTCTCTTTTCTCACTCTCTCAATCTCCTCTTGCCTTAGTTTCTTCTCCTGTTGTTTTCTCTGCTCTTCCTCTCTCCATTTTCTTTCCTCTTCCTCTCTCTGTCTCTGCTCTTCTTCCTCTCTCTGTCTCTGCTCTTCTTCCTCTCTCTGTCTCTGCTCTTCTTCTCTCTGTCTGAGTCTCTGTGCATCCTCATACATCTGATTACTGTAGTGTCCTCCTCCATTCTGCTCTATCATTGTGTCAATCTTCTTCAGTAGATCCTTCACCTGCTTTCTGTTATTCAGATCTCTATTGTTGAAGACGTGAAATCTGCCTCCACACTGATCAACTAGATCTCTTAATCTACTGTTCTCCTCAATGAGTTTCTCCATGGGCTTTCCTCTCAGCAGATCTCCATGAGTGAAGAGAATGATGGAGTATTTTAACACTTCTTCACCAAACAACATCTTAATCTGCTGAGGAATCAGCTGCTCCTGTTCAGTGAATCTCATATTCACGGGAAACACAATGAGAAAAGCGTGCGGTCCAGGTCTGGATATATAAACACTTTTCGCTATCTCTGTCATTAACTCTTCAGGCATCATCTCTGTGTCAAAGAATGGAGGAGTATCAACTACAGTCACAGATCTGCCTGAAACAGTGGCGTGAGCAGCTGAACATTCACAGGTTACTGATCTCATACTCCTCTCAGATCTGAACTCTCTCTGTCCCAGTATTGTGTTTCCAGATGCACTCTTCCCAACACCAGTTTTACCCAGAAGAACAATCTGCCTGGAAGTGTATGGTTCATCAAGTCCAAAAAACGACCTCAGGAACTTTTTATCTGTACAATAGAGAAAGCAGATGTAAGCAGAGATCTGTTCACTTAAAGGGTTAGTTCACCCAAAAATGAAAATTCTGTCAGTATTTATTCACCCTCATGTTGTTCAACCCCGTAAGACCTTCGTTCATCTTCGGAACACAAAATTAAGATATTTAAGATATTAAGATCGCTCCTGTATACAGTCCATAGGCTTCTTGAGGGAATGACTCTTGCTGTCCCCGAAAAGTCATTAAAGACATCGTTAAAATAGTCCAAGTGACTACAGGGGCTCAATCTTAAGTTTATCAAACGACGAGAACACTTTTGTGCGCAAAAAAACAACAAAAATAACGACTTTATTTCAACTATTGGTTTATTTCTCCCTCTGCGCGAGTCAGGTTACTAGTTTAATAGCGTAAGCTTCTGTTATTGTACGTCACACGCATCACACACACATGACCAGCGTCAGCCAATAGTGAGCCTACGTGTGACGTAGCTCTACACAATCACACTACGTTAACTGACTACAGGCCCATGGAGAAGGAAGTGAATAGTTGAAATAAAGTCGTTATTTTTGTTGTTTTTTTGCGCACAAAAGTGTTCTCGTCATTTGATAAACTTAAGATTGAGCCCCTGTAGTCACTTGGACTATTTTAACGATGTCTTTAATGACTTTTCGAGGACAGCAAGAGCCAGTCCCTCAAGAAGCCTATGACGAATCAGGATCCTTAATATCTTAAATATCTTAATTTGTGTTCGAAGATGAACGAAGGTCTTAGAGAAAACATGAGGGTGAGTAAAAGCAGAAGATTTTGTTCACTTAAGGCTGCACGATGTTGGACAAAAACTGACATTGTGATACTGTTTTTCTGTGATATATATTGTTATATGAAAACAATTTCACCAGATGACTTGAATAGCTCTATTTGGAAATAATGAATAATTCTAGGATGATTGGGATGATTTTGTAGGAGAGTGAATCGGCAAAATAATGTACAGTAGAACAAAGCTTTAAGCTGATTTGAATGTTTAAATGGTAACACTTTACAATAAGGTTCATTGGTTAACTACATTAGTTAACATTAACAAAAGATTAACAAATGCTGAAGAAGTATTGTTTATTCTTAGTTAATGTTAATTTCAACATTTACTAATACTTCATTAAAATCTTGTTAACATTAGTTAATGCACTGTGAAATAACATGAACTAACAATGAACAGCTGTATTTGTATTAACTAACTTTAACTAAGATGAACAAAAACAGTAACAAATGTATTGCTCATGGTTAGTTCATGTTAGTTAATACATTAACTAATGTTTAATAAATGAACCTTATTGTAAAGTGTTACCGTTTAAACTGATAGGACTTAAAAACAAGTGAAAATGACAAACTTTTACTCTATTATGGTTAAACTTTGCAATTAATTTGTGAATCATACGCATTCCGAACCTGATCTATGATCCTTATTAAGGTCAATTTATACTTCTGCGTCGGGTGCGCGCAATAGGTACGGCGTAGCATACACACAGACATATAAAGAGAAACGCCGTACCCTACTCCTCAAAAATGTTACTACACGTCACAACGACGCGGACCGCAAGATCTGTGATTGGTCGGCTTGGTAGCATCGTGTTTCCGCCTACGCATATCCGCCGTGTTCTTATGCACCGCTCGCCCATTTTTAAATTCAGAAGTTCACTGAAATTTCAGTGAAGAAACATGGAAATGGACCAAGTGACTGAGCGATTGCAGGGCTGCCAACTCTAACACATTGAGCGTGAGACTCACGCAATTGAGCCAATTCTCACGCTCTCACGCCACACCCCCGATTTCTCACGCTAACGTGTCAAGCCGGTCGGTAAAATACCTGAAAGACGAGTTTATCTATAGATCCACCAGTTGAGCCACTCGTGATTGACTAGTTTTACCGCAAATTAGTTAAAATATCTTCTAATCTAGAACGAGCGTGCTTACGAGACAGATGTTGAGCTCCTAACGGCGCAGAAACACGTTCCTCTGTGCACTCTAAGCGTTCTGTTATCACTTCCCTCTAATCCACTACGGGTTTTCCAGTCTCACACACAGGAAAAAAACTGCTCTGTGTTCAATCGATTTTAAAAGATAATCTTATGTTTTATTTTTTTATATATCACAAACGTCTGAATTTATAATACTATATGTAATGGCTTGGAAAGTATTCTACATGATTAATACATTTTCCAGCTGCCTTTGTTTGCACAAACAAGCGCACCCAGGTAAAAAGAAAAATGTTACAAATTCTACGAAAAATTTTAGTTTGCTCGTAGTTAATAATAATAATAATAATTATTATTATTATATATGCCGCAAGCGCACGACGGCAGAGAGGTAAGCGAACAAAGGGCCTTGCGTGCAACACAGACATAACGTAGAAGTATAAATGCTCACGACGGCGTCGCCTACGTGCATAGCCTACGACGTACACTCGACGCAGAAGTATAAACAGGCCTTTACTTGACATCAGACATACTACGATGTGACTATCACGGATGCACACATCACAATATTTGATGCTAAAGCGAAGTCCTCCAGAAGAGACTTCGTTAGGCTTGCTGTGGTAGTATGCGTGATCGCAAATTCAAAAAGTGATTTCAAAACTGCGCGTATTGATAGCGGCTCTGCTCTTTATTATTCACATTATATAGCCCTAGCCCATATGATATTAGTAAACCCTGCAACTGCTGACTATGAATGAAACTGACTATTGTTTCACTGAGATCTGTGTAAGAGTTCAAATAGCAAATTAGATCTCCACAAGTGAAGAGAATGATGGAGTATTTTAACCCTACCCTTATATTTCATCGTCCGCATCCTCACATGCTTCACAGGGGATCTGAAGACAGAATTCACATCGCTGAAATCGAAGACATCTGTTAGGTTTCGTCTCCCCGTTTGAGTCCGCTTCGGTTTTGCTGCTTTTTCTGTATAATAAGACAAAAACAAATTAGAGCATTTTTCAACACTCACTTTCCTCACAGTGGTTGGACAGAGATACAGCTGTTACAGTCCTACATTTCAGCTTTTTCCAGACACATTACTTACAAATAACAATACATGTTTTATTCTAGTCACATCTGGAAATAGCTTAAAACTAGCTTTTGGGGGAAAGGGTGTGCAGAACATTTACCATGTCAAGAAAAGACAAACCAAACTGTAATGAGTAAAACATTATAATGCAGAGATCTCTCTCTGTAACTCTTTCTTGCTGTAACGCTGCGTTCTAAAGACAGTCAGTGAGAGTAGACTTTCACAATTTGTCTCAAAAGTTTATAATATTTTGTATAATAACGACTGACTTACCTATTGTGTCAGGGTGTGTTGAATATATTTTTGTAAGCAGCTCTTGAACTTGTCCATTAGGTTCTCTCTTCTTGTTGTTGAACACATGATATCTCTGATCATATTTCTGAACCAGTCTCATCAGTGCCTTAGTCTCATTAACGAATTCATCGATTGACTTGTTTTCTTCCTCTAGTTCATCTCTGCCAGTGAAGAGAATCCAGGTTTTCTTCAAGCGCTCTTTTCCTAACAGCTCCTCAATCTTCTCCACAGCTTCTCTCTCTTTTCCAGTGAATCTGTCAGCTTTGATGACCAGCAGAAACACACAGAGACCTGATTCACATCTCTGAAGAACATTTACATTTATCATCTGCTGAATCTCCTGTTCACTGAGCTTTGTGTTGAACAATCCTGGTGTGTCATAGACAGTGACCCGTCGTCCACAGACCCACCCATATTCGACGGCAACATCTTGTGTGACAGAAGAGAAACTTTCCTTTGATTCAAAAGCTTTTCTTCCCAGTATTGTGTTTCCTGATGCACTTTTCCCAGCTCCTATTTTTCCCAGTAACACCAAATTTAGACCTTCAATCCTTTCCGCCATTTTCAAGATGTGACCTAAAGCTAAAACGTGCTGCAAGACAAAAATTAACACACATTTATGAAAAAATCTCACAGACTTCCTTCAGTACATGTAGTATGTGAGAAAGCTTCTGTAAGGACTGGAGACTGTTTCAAATAGAGTGCATCTGATTCCATTATTACTATTATTATTATGATCTAAAAAGTTCAATTGTAGTTCCAAACGATTTCTGATGATTTCAACAATATTATTTTTGGGATTCAGTTCAATTCATAGTCAGCAGTTGCAGCCAGGGTTTCTATGGATCCTCTAAAGGGACATGTGGTGGATAAAATATGAGATGGGAGGACCAAATATAGTTCACTGTAGGGCTGTCACTAACAGTTATTTTCGTAATTTTATTTTGATTATCAATCGAGTAGTATAAGACCCAAGTAGGGGTGGGCATATGGCCAAGACCAGCATATAGACCAGGAGTGTTGCCAATTTAAAGAAGAAAATGACTCGAGATCCAATGACTCATGACTTGACTTGAACTGTAGGACTTTATAACAAGCCAAAAGTAATTAAATTATTTTCATCACTACGGAACCACCGACACAAGTGATCGGAGTCTGTGTGATGCAGCACAATCTTATAAAAAACACAGTGCGGTGTGCCCGCCAAATAGAAGGAAATTCAACAAAAAATATATATGTAAGCAAAGTTAAACACATCACATTTACTATATAACCCATATA